ACCCTTTGACCAACTGGTCAAATTGGTCAAACTGGTCTGGTCAAGCTTGACCATTGACCGGTCCATGCCAACTCTGTTAGTAATGTTTATGCCCTTTAATTGCGAACTACCTTAACCATTTTATTCTATTTCTCTTATTAAAAATTTTTAATTTTGTCCAGAATTTAGAAACGTCGGCCAAAAAAATAGTATTTGGGCCAAAACATTTCCGGTTTTAACAATACCATCTTTTTAAAAATTATCCAGGGTCCTCTTCATTATTCAATGTTCTGAGTCTCGATTCTTGCAATATATGTTAATAGGGAAAATAATAACTATTACTGTTAAAATGGCTTTATGCATTTGGCTATTTATTTTTTATTTTCTGGTCAACAAACCAATTTCGAAAAGACGATCTACGAATACAAACGCTGGCTCCAAACAATAAATTTCGGAAGCTCTAATAAAATACATGACCCATATTAACAACAAAACAAGTTTGTTGCCCACTACTTGATCCTCAATAGAATATGTTCCTTATTAATTGTTATTTCAACAAATAACACAACCTTTTTTGTGTTTTAAAAATTCTTCTCCACCTTCCATCAAAAGATATTTCACACCAATTTCAGATTTATCAACTCTTAGTTCTTCCAAAGATGCTAATAATAATTCAGATTTAATGGAGATACTTTTAAATATTCCAGCTATGTAAGGGATTTCTGTACCTTTATTATCCCTTACTTTATTCTTCCCAACAAATCCCACCGTTGATATCTTGTTCTTATTTTTAGGTAAAAGTGGTGCTGACCACCATCCTTTAGTTGATTGACATCCATCTCGGCTCACAGGAGTCACCAATTTACCACTTGTAATAAAATACGCTTTATAGTATGGTTCGTTCGTTCTAGTATTATAAACATAAACTCTTGCTTCTTTATTTTCGACACTAGCACCCCATCCCAAATATTGGATATAATCATTTATTAGTCCTTGTTTCCAGATACTACCATCACAAAGTTGTAACCCTTCGATCTTTGTTTTTTTAGGCCCAATAGACCCTTTTGAACTAATCGAAAAAGTCGAAATAAGCGTATCACTGTTTACATTTTGGAATGCAAAATCAAATGCGTGATAGGTGGGTTCTAACTTAAGTAGATCGTATCGCGAAACGAATGCCTAAAAAATGATGTGAATTAGCTAAACACAGTATATGGTAATAACAAAAAGATAGAGTAATAATATACATGTTGTAAGTGGGAACGGAATTTAAGTGATTTCGGAATTTTTATATAGAACAAGCATTTCGGGGTTGATTTTATCATATACCCTAACCCTAATTTAACTAGGAAATTCGAATCATCTTAAATTCCGTTACCACTTTCAATCTACATACAAATAGACGCATATACGGATTGCAAAAGACTTTTGAGAATCTATTAATAATAATTTCTTTTATCTTTTGATTAAAATGTCGAGAAAGGGTCATGAGCCTGCATAGATCACGAGTCGGTAAACAGATGAATATTTCAAGTACAAGCTCGTGCGGTAATGTGAATGATTTCATTTTTTGAAGTATCTTCTATTTGCCGCAGTGAGACACGTGACGGATGAGGGCAAACCTTTATATATACACTTGATATACTGTATATTAGAAATTTCAGAAACCAAAATATTTTATTATTCGTACTAGAAAAAAAAACTATTAAATATTTAGTAAGTCGGTAATATCGGATACTATCTTTTTTTTAATCCACTCTTGAAAAGTTGGTGCAACGGGTTAATTAAGAGAAAGAATCAAAATTGGTCATTAGGGAAAAAGATTTAACCATCAATAAAGTTTCAAATTTATAAATTTTCAGCGCAATCATAATAAGCCTTGTTATGAACATTTTTGGTCATGAAAAACAGTCATGACAAGACGCAAGTAGCTTCCTTATTTTTCATATTCATACAACTGTACTACAAAAAAAATTTCTTTCTGTGCCCTATTTAGAATTTTGTCCTACAACATAGTACGATCCGAATAATAATTCATATGTACCGGTACAGTTCGTAACATAGTCTTTAGCAAACACTCAACATTAAACAAACTGTAAGCACAATTATGTTTCGTTTACCATTTCTCGAACATGTATGTTATATTAATTTAGTTGGATTTTATTTTATTTATTATTATTATATATTTTTTTAATAATCGTTTATATTAAAATACTTAATTTTTAAGACTCCAGTTTTGCTAAGTCTTCTTCTATCACTAGTACTTATATATGTCCGAAGTTTTCATGTTGTATATATGATAATTGGGAGTTTAGTTACGGAAACAATCGGTAAAAGTTTGTCATTATTTTTCAATTGATCAAAAAAAACTTATGATTAATCATTTTTATTTATTAGTCAAAATTCTGAAACGTATAATCCGGCAACCACGTCCTATCCATACCAATCCCAAGCAACAAAGAAAAACTTTTGGAATGCCATCATCTCATTCGGCAATTTTTATTTATTTGGCAACTTTTATATCATTACAGTTATATACGACATCTTTGCATGAATTTTTTGCATTTTTTTCCATACATATTACTCAAGCATTCATAAATACTTTGATAAAACTAACATTAAGTTTGGTTGTTTCATTAACCGCTCTATCTATTGTTTGGTCAAGAGTTGCGTTAGGCCATCACACAAGAAACCAAGTGATCGCTGGAATGGCATTAGGATTTTGTGTTGGGATTATTTGGGATAAGTGGTGGTGGAGATATTGGAGTGCATATAAAATTAGCATACTATAATCATAATATATATTATATATAAAATAGTATACTTGTCAAGAATCCAATCAATATATATTATATGTAACCTCACGAAAATTCTACAGAAAATTTATTTATTTATCATTTAATAAAAATATAATAAAAAAAAACTATACGGGACAGTACCAAAAAGAATTTATAAGTAATTTAAATCATTACTTTTACTGCTTTCATCAAATTAACACTTAAGATTTCCATGTAGTCACATGACATTCCGACCTTAGAAAATTTGGAACTAAAAAAAGCTTTCTTAATTGTTTTATAAGAGACGAAACTAACATTATTAGACCAGAATAAACGGTTAAACATATCCTTAACAGAAATTAATGTAACACAATTTTTATGTAATTACGATCAACTAAAATTATTAATTGCAATTTTTACCTTTACTATAAATTTCGGGATAATGTAAAATTTTAAGAAACTGATTATACATATTCAAAACAGAATTATATTGCCATTAACGGTAGCTGTATCTAAATGATTTACATATTAAATTTGTATAACCCGTTTCTGATATAAATTACACTGATATTTGCCCATCATTTGAAGATCTAAAAAAGCATCATCGAAAGAATGTAAATTATGCTTATTACCATCATTTGTATGCCTAAAAAGAGCTTCTTTTTGATTATCAGCAGTGATCTGGAAGAATATAAATTACACTAATGTCTGCCGTGATTTGAAGGTCTAAAAAAAGCATCTTTTTGATTATTGACTATGGCTGAAAGAACATAAATTACATTATTGTATGCTGTCATTTGAAGGTCTAAAAAGGCAACTATGTTAATATTTATTCGGAACGTTGGTATTTATTGGAACAAAAAAAGATTTGGAATGCTATACTATATACATGTCTTTGTAAAGGAATGTAAATTAATGTTCTTGTGGTTTGTATGATTATTTGATTGCTCTTTTTTTTCTTTAAACTACAAGTTTTGATGTCAAATATCTACAAAATACTCATAATGCAATAAAGTCAGATAAATTGATTTATAGTGCAAATCGTGTGATTGGACGAACAGAAAATTCGGAATTACGTTTTTGATGTTTTAATATAGGATGCATCAAAAACAAACTTTTGTATTAAAGTTTGAGTCCTCCGTTTCGCTCCGGACAATTAGCGGCGCAACAAATTCGGCAGATCGGCCCGATTTATGTGTCGGAATTTATCGGATTTAGGCCGGCATTAAAAATACCAACGACTAAACTTATCATCTGTGAGCTATGGCAAAATTAATCAACACCGGCCATTCCGACCCATAATTCGGGTCGATCTATTCGAATTTAAGAATTCTCCAGACAACAAAACTCATACAGGGGGATCCCCAAAATGCCGGGTCGGAATACTTCGGAATCATGCTCGGCAGGGCCGGAATTAACTAATTTTGCCCAAGATCACTAAAAGTTTTA